ATTAAATTGCAAAACAAATACTTTTGGTTAATTTTATGCACCTGGAGCCACACAGCTCCTCTTATAACATATAAAGACCACAGAAATGGTAAAGTGGCATTTTCCTGCTGATTCACAAGACACACAGAGGTCATGTTACCACTGAAACTTCAAGGGAGAAGAACTTCAAAACCTCTTCCTACCTCCAGCATTTTGATTGGTTCTACACCTGTGAATCACCTCAATGTCACGGTTCAACAAAAGCACTCAAATACATAACTTCTGGGTGAATAAATGCCACAAAGCAGATTAAATCAACCTATGAAGCTGGGATTTCAGACATTCCTTAACAATAATCAGAAACGAAACAACCAAAAACGTTTTAAACAACAAAAAAAAAAGGAATATACACTCTCTTATCCTATCCTAAATTATTGTATAAGTAAGACTTCATCTGTAAGATTTAACAAACTGGGAGAGAAGTTGAAAAGTAGTAAAGAACAGAGGACATTCCCTAGAATAGAGCTCTAGGCGTAAACAAATCATTTAAACTAAATCTCATTTTTACAGCAAAATCTCAATGTCAGTATGCAAAGTTCTAATGACAAGTACAGTATCTTGAAAAATATGCGGTTCATGGTCTGCAATATTTTAATAAGCATATACAAACTAATCCCTAGAATACAAGAATCATCCATGTGAATAAGCTTCTAGTATCAGTTAATTACCCAGAGTACCAAAGCAGAACACCATCCATCCCAAGACTCCAGTATGAGCTGCAGTTTTGAGCCTGTAATAGATCTTATCAGCTCTGATTTGTGTCCTTACACTAGTGGAGCTGCCAACGTTGGGGGCTTAATGCATTGCGAAAATCTACCTTACCCTTTAAACTCTTTTGACAGTGAATCACAACATCAAGATGTACAATAGTGCGCAACAAATCTACAAAAAATTTTTTTAATCAACTAGTCAGACCTCAATCAGGCACTGGCTGGAAAATATTATTACTTGCCTATAAGGCCCTTAATGGGTTAGCTCCTGCGTACCTAACTAGTCTTCTAATACGCTACAACGATGCATTAAGAAACATGATGCATTAAGAGCCTGAATTTGAAGATCAAGGTAAATTGTACTTAATTTGTCTTCTGGGAAACATGCAAGTATCTTCTGTTGCTTCCGAAGGGCAGTACTAAATGGAAAAAAAAAATTATATTTCAACAAATTAAGAAAAATGTGGACATCTTCATCCTGTTCAAAAGTTTTTCTTAAGGCTCTTAAGGCATCGTGTTTCCTTCTGGAGCATCAGTGAATGTTTGAACCTTTTTTAATAGTTGTGTTTGAGTCCCTCAATTGTCCTCAGTGTGAAAAGATGGATCTCAAAATCATACAGTCACTGCTGGAAACGGTTCAAATATGCAAAAGATGCTGGAAAACTGAAAAATCTGCAGGACATGGAGGATTTTTCTGAAGAACAGTGCTCAGTTTAACTGTTCAGAACAAACAAGGGACTCATGAACAAACATCACAAAACAAAAAAACAGTCATAGATCATCCAGCTAACCACACACAGTATTAAGAACCAAGGGTTCCCAAACTTTTTAAGGGGGTTATTTGAATAATTTCAGCTTATTTTTGTCTTGTGGACTATATGTAAAAAAAATGTATGTAAAATATCTTACTCAGGACAGTACTAAATAAAAAAATAACATGCATTTTGTATGATCTCTCTTATTTTGTTAAAATTATTGACATTTTCACAGATTCTGCAAGGGGTTTCCAAAATTTCGCATGCCACTGTATACAGTAGTCAACATTTGAAGTGGATCAAAAAAGTTAATCAAAGTTGTTCTAAGACAAGAACGCATTTTGGTTTTTGGTTTTAGGACAACTTTGATGAAAGGTTTTGATCCAATTCAGATGTTGACTAGTGTATACATAAATGTATAGATTTGTCTGGCAAGCCAACGAATACAGTGCAAATGAAAATGCATATCTCATTATCATTCACCTTGTTAAAACGGTCCACCCACTTTCTAAAGACACAACGAGGAACATCTGTTACTGGAGGCCTTCTACAAATTAATAAAACAAATACATCAAATTATAGTGCCCCTGAGCCAAGCAGGCATGTGCACATAACATCTTATCACATTAATCTACATATATAAATGCTGTGTCCTTACAAAGGCCGCCATGTAGAGTCATGCAATGAGGGTGACACTTGATAAAGCAAACAAGTGAGTATGTGATACATTTTTCAGTTTAAAAATGGCAAAGATTATTCAAGTTCATTCGTAAACTCTGTACAAAGGTTACATTTTTGTAATTCCCTCAATTACTTTCTTCAGTCTTAAGATGAGCGTGACCGGGCATGAATATTCTTATGAAATCTGGTTAAAAGTTATTAGCTCATCGTCTACATTTTCCATCAACAAAAACACACTGATAATGAAAAGACCCCCTTTTGATGAACTTCATCACACATTCTACACATAATTTTCACCTGAAACTAAATTCCACAGTCTTGCATTATGATTAATAACATGACTCTTGGTGACAGCTCTCAGGAGAATTTAATACTGGCATCAAAACAAAATACAAAACTGGACCAAAATATAACACCATTAAAAATGGATGTGTAAAACAAATATTGCAGCCAGGATATTGTTTTGCAATGCACAGCAGCTGCTCACATACAAAGCGTAAAAAGCATTTTGAGGGACACAAAGGACGGCATTTCAAAATGCATCCTTAATGGCCATTGAAAACACTGAAGGAACTTGGCTTGTTATTCATGTAAGCACAGTAGGTTGTAAGTAAATGTAAAAAAAGGGGGGCACAATAAACGTTGGAAAAAATATGTAAAACTGTCTATAATGGTTGATGTTTCTTCTTGTCCATGTTTATGTTTATCAGTAGTATCACTATTTTAAGTGGATTCAGAAACGGTACATTTCAGGATCAGAAATACTACGGGTGTTACTGGCAGCCTTGATAGCATCTAAAAACCATTTTCAAGGTAATGCCAAATTGATTTGCCTCAAAAATACTTTTTTAAAATTCTGAAATGTGCCACAGCTAGGCTCCGAAATGCATGACCAATTTATAACTGGACAACAGCCACTGATTACATTAAAGCTTTCATAGGGTAAGTACTTATTTTCAATACTTTATGATTTCATCCCCTGTATATTCAATGCATTTGATACATACAGTATTTGTATTTGATTGATGGCATAGCCCTTTATGCTGCTAATTTTATTGCGAGCTCAAACGATCTTTTTGTTTAATAGAAACAAAATGACTCTGAATAGATCCTAATGAGAAAAACAACAAGGAGCTCTCAATCACCTAAATATCAAAGTATGTGAAAGCCTGCGAGATAATGAAAAATTCTCCAAATCTGTTTCCTCAGTGACTGACAGGTTCCTTTTTGCCAAAGTTAGCATCCCACACTTTGACCTAAACGGCTCACAGGATGATTGCAGCGCAAAAGACCTGTCAATATTGCTTTAAAAACAGCAGGAAATTGGCTCATCTGCTCTGAGAGAGGAAGTGAGCCAATGAAAAACTGCAAGACATTCAGGAACAGAGCATTGAGGGGGCACTGGAAATGATTTACAATGTTTCCACACCTGAACGTGTTCTCAATCACAGGATTCCAATAACAGAGACATTTAATACTAGGAATGGACGTATGTTTGTTTGTTTATTTCACGCCAATCCAGCATCTACGGCTATATTCATGGCGAGAACCAGTTAATCCATACACAAGTATATAGCGAGAACCAGTTAATCCATACACAAGTCGATCCCTACACAAGTCTTGTCTTTACACACACGTCTGGGGACAATTTTGAATGTTCAATTAACCTAGTCTTTGGGCTGTGGGAGGAAACCGGAGCTCCCAGCGTAAACCCACGCAGACATTGGGAGAACATGCAAACTCCACACAGAAAGGCCTCCTGTCCTTGCAAAAAGAAAGTCAGGTAGGAACCGGGTACCTTCTTGCTGTGAGACAACAGTGCTAACCACCGAGCCACTGTGCCGCCCTAATGGACGTATGTAATATTTGAAGTGGACTAGAGAAAGAAAGTCAGGTAGGAACATTGCCCTCAGGTTAGGGTTTGAAATCGTTTGTGGTCAAATGGTATTAATTTCATCACATAATCCAGGCCAAATCAAAGCAAGTCCAAGGATCTATTCAATGTTTTGTGGCTAAATGAAATGCATACTTGTTATCAAGACCACATTTAGATGTATACCTAATGGATTCTAAGCATAACAAAAAGAAATATGAAAAGACCGCATCTTGCAAGCATCTTGACTATTTAAAAAAAAAAGAAATAAATTCTTAAATTAAACTTCTCTGACTTAACTTGCCCTGAATAATAAATACTGTTATGATGAATGACTATCTATGCTGACAGATCAAAATCTCTCCACATGAAAGTTAATTAGCAAACACATGATTTCAAAGTGCATGCATTTACAAAATGTTTCAAAGTCGGGGTACAGTGAATGTTTTTTTTTTTTATTATTAAACTGCTGGTTCTAAATGCAGTTTTACATGTCAGGGACTGGATCTTGTTGAAAAATTTTAATAAAAATTAACATTTTAATAAAAATTTGTGTGCAAAGAAAACAAGAGCAATAAAGCACTATATGCCATACTGTATTCAGCTAAAAGGCATTGGTAGACAAATAGCTCAGCAATTTAGTATGGCCTCACATGCCCTATGCTCACCCTCATGTCATTTTAAAACAAAAATAATACATATAACAAATACATATTGAGAAATGTCTCACTGTTATTTTTTTTGCCCATGCAAATGTCAATGTTTACTACCGTTTAGTTACTAATATTGTTCAAAATATCCTCTTTTGTGTTTTGCAGGAGAAAGAATGTCATACAGGTTTGTAATTGACAGAATTTTCAATTTGGACTATCTCTAAGTATCTACCACCTAAAATTATTCCAAATACAAGGGTGGAAATGGTTTGCTTTCAAACAGAAGTACCTGCTGACTGACACTTCACTGATTGTAGGGCTTGATGATCTTGATGGAAGCTCAATTACCCCATCCATCTCTTCACTCTTTACTTCCAGCATTGCAGAAACGAGAGGCTGGGGAGTGTTCTGAATGCTGTTTGGTGAACCTGTTACATGGAAAGACATGGAAGAAGGAAAAACACAGTTAGGAATACACCACTAGAATACAATCTTGTGGAAAAACCTTGTAAAATAAGACCCCTTGACAACAAGGTTTTATTTTTCCTTTCTATTTTTTTGCTAACATTTTCTTGTGTATTTTAGATGCAGTCAGGGTATAAAATAAAAATGGGTCTTGGTGAGTTAAAAATAACAAAAAAAAAACATTACCATTTGGCTGGTATTTTGTTTTTCAAAAAATACAACAGCAGGTGTCACAGCAAGAGTCATACTAACACTAACTGTGCTACATATACATACATACATATACATATATATATATATATATATATATACATACATATATATACATAAACACTATAGAAACATTATATATAAAATGTGAACATTTACAGTGTGTTGAAAAGGGTATTATTTTTGTATTGATCACCACACCGCTGCAATCTCTATTTACACATAACCACTACTAGAGAACTGGCAATTCCCAAATCAATTGCAACTAAACCAATTGTGACGGCACTGACTGACAAAGAGATGTCAAAAACCCATGTTGAATATTTCAACATATACTGCAAAGTGCTTATTGACTTTGAACTCCACATATGCTTTGCTGATAACAGCATGAGACTGGTGCTTTTTATCACCAGAGCAGGTGATGGGGTCTACAGGCCCTTATTTACTGCAACTGTTGAGGTGGCGCACAAAAGTACTTATGCTTCAAACAGTGTTTGTGTGTGAATGAAATATGCTGTATATAGTAACTCTGTCACTACAGTGGTGGTAGATTTGTAATGTTTATAAAGTTTCTTTATTTCTGCATCCATTTTCTCAACATTTAAGTCCTAAAACTTGATAAAGAGAGTCTGATCAAAACAAATAACACAAAACATTGCATATTTTCACTTCTTTATCAAGTAAAATGGTCTAAGAATGAACTTCTTTGTTGAAAAGTATGTGAACCTTTGCTTTCAGAAAAGCAATAATGCAACCAAATGTTTCCAAAAACTTTGGATCAGTCCTGAACGTTAGATTGGAGAAATGTCTTCAGCTTGACATTGAGCTTCCTTAACACAAGGTGTCAGTCTATAGACTTACGTCTTGACATTCCCCAGTAAAACTTTTTGGTACAATGCAGAATGCATAGTTCCATCAAAGGTTGTGATTCAGAAGCTGCAAAGCAGCCCCTAATCATTACAATGTCATCATCGTGATTCAGTTGAGATAAAATTTCTTATTGAATGCTAGTTCTTTATTGCCAAATGTAACACACCTCATTGAAACCAAAAAGATCTGTTTACAGTCCACAAATCATTTAGCCAACAGCCTTCTGGCTCATCCACGGAGTCTTTGGAAACCTTTAGACGGACAGCATTGTCTTCTTGGAAAGCAGCGGCTTTCTCCTTGTCATCCTGCCATGCACACCATTCTGTGTGTTTCCTTGATAGACTCAGCTTCCACAGCAACTCACAAATTCACACCTGTTTATGTAATTTTAACACCCCGTTACTTTAAATGAATTGATAATTCTAGAGGTTCACATACTCCCACCAAACCAAGAGAATGACTTCTGGATGATATTAGTAAATAAATGTGGAAAAAAAAAAAATATATATATATTTTAAAATTACCTGTCAGTTGAATTCTGAATGTAGGTTAAATTTACAGCACATTCTTTCTAGCACCACTGTGGTACACAGTGTCAACATTAATGTTACTAATTATGAAAACACTTGGGAGATTACAGGTCATTCTACAACCTAATTAAATGGCAACTATTCAAAAGTGTGATTATATGAAATTTCTAAATTTAAAAAATGTCAATGTCAAATTGGCAATCAATTTTAACCAATGTTCAAACAAGAATATATATACAGTGGGGGGAAATATTTATTTGATCACCTGCTGATTTTGTAAGTTTGCCCACTTACAAAGAAATGAAGAGTCTGTAATATTTATGGTAGGTTTATTTTAACGTATAGAGACAGAATACCAACCAAAAAATCCAGAAAAAACACATTATATAAAGGTTAGAAATTGATTTGCATTTCAGTGAGTGAAATAAGTATTTGATCCCCAAGCAAAACATGACTTAGTACTTGGTGCAGAAACCCTGGTTGGCAAGCACAGAGGTAAGACGTTTTTTGTAGTTGGTCACCAGGTTTGCACACATCTCAGGAGGGATTTTGATCCACTCCTCTTTACAGATCCTCTCTAAATCCTTAAGGTTTCTTGGCTGTCATTTGGCAACTCGAAGTTTCAGCTCCCTCCACATATTTTCTATAGGATTGAGGTCTGGAGACTGGCTAGGCCACTCCATGACCTTAATGTGCTTTTTCTTGAGCCACTCCTTTGTTGCCTTGGCAGTATGTTTCAGGTCATTGTCATGCTGGAAGACCCATCCACGACCCATCTTCAGTGTTCTGGCTGAGAGGAGGAGGTTCTTGTCCAAGATTTTACAAAAACAGCCCCAAAGCATAATGTTTCCACCTCCGTGCTTGACTGTAGGGATGGTGTTCTTGGGGTCATAGTCAGCATTTCTCTCCCTCCAAACACGGCGAGTCGAGTTAATGCCAAAGAGCTCAATTTTGGTCTCATCTGACCACAGCACTTTCTCCCAAGCCTTCTCTGAATCATTTTGATGTTCTTTGGCAAACTTTAAACGGGCCTTTACATGTGACTTCTTGAGCAGGGGGACCTTGCGGGTGCTGCAGAATTTTAGTCCATTGCGGCCTAGTGTGTTACCAATGTTTTGCTTGGTGACTGTGGTCCCAACCGCCTTAAGATATATATATATATATATATATATATATGTGTGTGTGTGTGTGTGTGGAAACAAGTCTTATGTAACATCTTTAAGTGCAATCTGAAGAGAAACTGAAGACAATGGGACCTTTGGAGTCCGTTTCCTCTGCAGACTTCTCTTCCTGTTTGACCGGTGCTCTCTTGGATGTCTCCAGACGACCTCTGACCTGGGCAATCAAACGGGAAAATTCGCTACTGTGCTGCTTCCCTAAGAAAAATAATCAAAAGGCAGAGAAGTAAAGTGTTCAACTGCACTTCATCCATAAGTATAAAGAAATTAAGAATTAAAAGAACTTCTTATAATAAATACTGAATCTTGAAAAATGGGCGTTCTATAACAGACCTGAATGCCTCAAGGAAAGTTTTAGGAGGCAGAGCAAATTATTAGATTTTGATGAAAGATTAATTAGAATTGTTTTCCCCCCTTTTGCAATAATGTGCACTGATGAATCAGGAACGTGCACGTAAGTAAAGTAAATAAAGTAAATTATGATTTCATGATAACTTTTTTCATGATGACTTTATTTAACCTTTTTAACCTGGAATATTCCTGTAAATAATACCAAAACCTACATGATACAACAGTCATGTCTGGATAATAAATTGTTACATAATGTCAAAATAAATTAATAAAGTAAAAAAACAAAGCCATAAAAGGAAAATCTGAATGTATCTTGTACCGAAAATGATAGAGGATTATATTTCAATCTTAGCGTTCTCTTCTAACAGAGAATGAATCCTGCAATGGAAAATAACAGTGACTCAGTGTCTGAAAGCACTGGCATAACAAGGCAGACCATAAATGTAGTGGCAAAAACCAACAAAAGCAGATGAAAGGTCATATGGCCTGCTTTTAAAATCACATCAGCCAAAGGCCCAAGAATAGATCAGCTGAAATGACGATGACTGAAGAACTGCAGGAGAACAAATACAGAGATATCCACCGCAGCTCACTATCACAGAAACACACTGCTTTTAAATGTCCGCAGACCCTGACATGTATCTGTGTTTGTTTGCGATACAGCATATGAATCCTGTTTCTATTCCCTGTATATCTATTATAACTGAACTAATTAGTACTCAAGACTGAAATAATTAGGACTCAAGATGTCGCCGCAGACGGCCGCCTCAGTGCTTGGCTCTCCAGTGTTTGTACTGTTTTTGCTAGTTTTTCCTGTTTTTTGTTTCTCAAACACGATCAGTTTTACCAGGGATGAACTGCTGAACATTCGGCAGAACACACCACAAAATATCCTACCGGATTTAGATTATTCGGATGTTTTGCTGAACATTGTAGTTGGCGGTAGGCTTGCCGCGATAGACGGTGCTGACGGTGATACCGGTGTTAAGCCGCAACACTGGTTACGTCACTTGCCCACCCCCACCGTCGTTTTGATTTTTTATAGTAATAAAAATCATTTAGTTCAGTAAAAGAAGAGACACTACAATTAAACAAGAACAACAGTTGTATCGCTGATCAGATTTCATTTATCCAGTGAGGAGAATGAGTCGAGCTGACTGACAAGAAGAGTGGGGTGAGACAGACAAGACGATCGCGGATGATTTAGTTTCGAAACGAAATGCAAAAGCGCCTGTTTGGCAATATTTTGGATTTTGAAAAGCCTGTTGACTTTTGCCGTTTATCTGATTTTGGAAGTTTTTTTAAACATTCAATTTCTTTGTTTTATATGTAGGCTAAAGTGAGTTTGACGTTGTATTTTGTTGTTGCATTCAAGCAATTGAGCCGAATTGCCGCTAATTCGAAAGTGAAAGTAAAATGTGCACGGTGCTTTTAAGCTATTTAAAAGCAAAGGAAAGTGAGGAAAAGAGGGGAAATTCAAACGAACAAAAAACGAACAATTCCTTTACTCCGAATTGCCGCTATTTGAAAGTGAAAGTAAAATGGGCACACCGCTTTTACAA